CTACTTGCTGGGCCTCGATTTACTGTTTCTTGTGTTGCTACTCTACTGCATATATAGAAAAGGTTCCTGAGAAACGCGTGCTCCCAGCAGCAGTCGGGGGCTCTGAGCCGCCCCCCACTGCTCCCCCCACTCTCCCTGGCCCCCCTCCGGGCCCTGCTGCCTCCCCCCAGCGTCCAGGCTGGGGGGAGGCCCCTCACACCTCCGACCTGCTCTCGGCCCTCCTCCCCCTCCCCCTGAGCCCCCTGCTCCTGGCACCCCTGCAGGGGTCCCTGTCCTGTCCCCTCCTCCCCCCCATCTTCTCTCCTGCCCCCTCCAGCCCCTTTTGGGGTCCCTGCTCGAGTCCCCACTGGGCCCGGGCCCTGCCCCCCACGCCCCCTCTGCACTCAGGGTCCCTCTGCCCCTCGGGCTCCTCCCCTGCTGCCCCAACCCCCCATGACTATCCCCGAGGACGCACGGCCCCCAGGGCAGCCTGTCCACAGCACCTTTGGGTGTTTTTGTGTTTCCTTTTGCAAGTGTTTGAGTGTGTTTTTGTGCTGAGCAGAGAGAACTGCTCAGCCCCCAGGTGTGTGGACAGACCCCCGGGGTCATGCCCGCCCCCCTCGGGTGATGTCCTCCCGCACCCTCGGGGAGAGTCACGGCTGTGGACACCCCTGACCCTGGGATCCCTCTGCCTGCCCTGCCCTCTCCTCGGGGACTCCAGCCCCTCACCTGTCCCGGCTTGCTCCTCCTGGGCCCACCACGTCACGCCCCTGTCCCTCCCCGACCCCTGTCACACTCTGGCCCCCACTGCCCTGACCTCATGGTTCTACACTTCCCAGCTCCCTGCCTTGTTCGTTATTCAGGTCTGTGACAGTATCACTGGGGCCACACTGTCCTTTCCTGACCAATGGAATCAGGGACACGCGGCACCGTCTGTCCCCGTCGAGCCCCAGCACTAGTTCTTAGCACGGGTCCGCCAGCCCCTAGAGGGGGTCACCTCAGCCTGGAGCTTGGCTCAGTTTCCCGCGTTCCTTAGACACCCAGTCTCAGCCACAGACACCCCGGATGCCCCGGGTTCCCTTCACACCACCAGTCAGCCCAGCCTGCGCCTGCCCGGGGTCCACCTGGCCCTCAGATCTTCTGAGGGGTAGGCACCTCAGAGTGCCTGGACCCTCCCCCCAGACTCCCCTGCCTCCCTCCCTGTGGCATAGCCTGGTCTGGCTTGGGGAAACAACCCCCGCTCCGCCCTGTATGTGGCCGCCTGAGGGCCAGTGTCTGCCCCTCTCCCTTAGATGTCTGAAATGACCCCAGCTTCCTCCTATCACTATCCGCACCTCAGTGTCCCCTTCACGCTGCTCGGGCCCCCCCTCCCCTCCCCACCACCCGACTGTAAATCACGCTGGCCCAGAGTCCAGGAGACCGCCCCCCTCTGACCCTGCCCTCTCCTAGGGACACTGAGACCAGCCCCACCCCCACCCTGTGCCCTCCCTGCTCTCTCTGTGCCTTCATGGGGCCCCAGCGGTGCCAAGCGCGGAGGCCCTCAGACCCCCCCTCCTCCTGCCTTACCTCCCGCAGTCCTCTCTGTCCTGCCCTGCCCTCGCCCTCTTCTCTCCTGGCCCCCTCAGAGGGTCCCCACCCCCGCCCGGCACCTCGCAGAGGGAAACCCCCACCCGTCCCTTCCATACTGCCTGCCATTTGTCAGGTCCAGTGACCCTCTGGCACCCGTGAGCCCCCTCCCTGCGCCCCAAGACCGTGTGCTCCTCTGGCTACTGGAGGTCCACTGGGCCTTGCTCCATCCGGAAGTGCTGCCCGGTGCCCAGCTGCTCTCCCCACCCCACCCCCCAACTCCTGCGACCCCACACGCTCGCCCACACCACCCCCTGCTGCCCGCCGTCGGCCCCACCCGCACCTACCCACCCCCAGACCCCCGGCCCATGTACACCGCCTCCTAGCGGCCTCTGGGACTGCCCTGCCCCCCTCTGTCGCCTGCCCTGCCTTGCCCAGCTGAGCTGTCCAGCACCACACACGCGGCCCAGAAACCCTGGCCTCCCGCCAGCCCCGCGACAGGCTCGGGGCTTCTACTTGCCTCCCCTGCCAACTCAGCGCTCCCCCTGCACCCCATCTCAGCCTCGCCTGGGACCGGGCCCTGCCGCCTGCTGCCCCCAGCCTGCCCCCGGGGTGGCCAGGCTCCCGCACACTTCGGACCCGAACCTGTTCTCGGCCCCTTCTCTCCCCACAGTCCACCTTCCACCTCTCCCGTCCCCCTGAGCCCCCTGCGCTACCTCACCCCACGCACTCCTGCAGGGGCCTCCCTCCTGCCCCCTCATCCCCCATCTTCCTCTCCTGCCCCCTCCAGCCCCTCTCAGGGGTCCCTGCTCAAGCCCTGGCGCCCCCCATTCTGACTACATCCATTTGCCGCTGTCTGCTGGACCCGGACCCTCGGGGTCCCTCTGCCCCTCGGGCTCCGCTGCTACTGTCCCCCTCCCCCCGTGACTTTCCCCGAGGACACATGGCCCCCAGGGTGGCCTGTCCACAGCACCTCTGGGTGTTTCCTTTTGGAGGATTTTGGGTGTTTCTGTGCTGAGCAGAGAGAACTGCTCAGCCCCCAGGTGCATGGACAGACCCCCAGGGCCATGCCCACCCCCTCGGGTGACGTCACCCCCCACCCTCGGGGAGAGTCACGGCTGTGGACGCCCCCTGACCCCAGGATCTCTCTGCCTGCCCTGCCCCCTCCTCAGGGACCCCAGCCCCTCACCTCTCTGCCTGTGACTGACCCTCCTCCTTGGGGACCCCAGACTCCCACTCTCATCCATCCTTACTCGCATCCTGGGATCTCATCACTCCTTGTTGCACTGGATCCCCCTTCTCTTACCCTGCACTATGGGGGTCCTTCCTGTCCCCCACTTTTTTTGTCTCCGGCTTGGTGACTGTCATTGGTGGTCCCTGGCCTTCCTAGGCAAGTGACTGTCCTTCTCCATCTGTGTTTCGGTTTCTTCCGTGCCCTGGCCCTGTGTTCCAGCCCCAGTTCCTGCCTGCCGGCCTCCCCTCATCCTTCCCCGCGCCCCTTGGGTCCCTGGGCTGCCCAGCGCAGATTGAGGGCGTTCGTTCCGCAGGCTGTCCTGGGTAGAGCGTTTCCACTGGGCCACCCATGGGCCCTCCGCACGGCCGCCCTGCGTCCCAGAGCCCAGCCTCTCAGAGCCCTCCTGGCCCCTGCACCCCTCCCATGGGCACCCCTACGCTCCTGCCCCCCATTCTGCACCCCTGTTCTCATGATGCCCCTCACCCCATCATCCTCTTGCTCTGGTGCCTGGGACCCCCCCAACACCCCTGCTCAGGTCCTGCTGCCGCCCAGCCCCCCAGGGATCCCAGCTCCCAAAGAGTGCCCCTCACTCCCCTGCCTGCTGCCCGGCCCTCTGCTGCTGCCCCGCTGGGGGACTGCACCTGACCCCCCGCTGCCTCTGACCATGCTCCCATGGCCGCCAGCCTGCCCGTCCCCGGGGTTCCTTCGCGCCCCCAGCCCACTCTGTACGCTGCCTAGGGCCTCTCTGCTGCTGCCCTCTGCCTTCCGCACCGCCAGGGCATCCCCGGGCTCCCCGGACACTCCCCCACCCCAGACTGGCCTTTCCTGCGGCCACCCCATAGCCAGAACCCTGGGCCTCCACCCGCCCGGCCTCCCATCTGCACACTGCACTTTCCAGTCCACCCCGCACCGCCTGCCCTGCTCTGCCCAGGGCCATCCAGGGTGACCGTGGCTGCCCCCCAACCCACACTGCCCCCGCCCCATACTGCTTCCACCCTCGCCACCCTCGGTCCCCAGCACCAGGCCAGTCCTCCCCCGCCAGCCCCTGGAGGTGTGCTCAGCCCTGCAGCCCGTGGCTGGCTCCTGCACCTGCACCGTCACTCCTGCTCAGTGCTTAGAGCTTGGCTCATGTCCCTCCACCCACCCAACCCCTCATCCCAGCCCTGCCCGCCCCCCAGCCCAGCCTCCCTCCCCCCCCCCCCCCCCGTCCCCGACCCCCCCGCCCCCCTCCTCCCCCCACACCCTCCTCCCGCCCCTTCCCCGCCGGATCCATAGTAAAGAGCCTGGCCAAAAGTGTCTCCCCTCGCCTCGCCTCTCCTCACCTCTCGCCCACGGCTGCAGGAGCCCACCCCTTCCGGCCTCTGCTCCCCAAAGCGGGCACCTCTCACCCCTTCCCACCTGGAGGGGACCCAGGCTGGCCGGCCCTGCTCCTGGCCCGGAGCCAGCCCTCAGCCAGCAACCCCCCGCTACCCGCACCTGCCCACCCGGTCATGGTGGTGACCCAGCCACCCTCTGCCTTGTTACCCCCATGCCCTTTCTGGCACTCAAGCCCCCCCCACCCACTACCTACCCGGCCTCCAGCCCCCAGGCACACCCTCTTCACTCCCTCTACTTTCTGTGCTGTTCGCACTCTGTCCCCCACCCAGTGCTCACCTAGCACACACCTGCCCCTGCCTTCCCTCTCCATACTGCCCGCCCCTACCGCCCGCATGCGGGGGGGGGGGGGGGGGCGGTAACCCCAGCAGCTTCAGCCCTCTGACCCCCTTCCTGTCAGGCACAGTGTCCCCACACACACACCCAGCAGCCCGGGCCCCACTGCCCACCTCCTCTTGAGGGGCCGAACTTCTGCTTCCCAGGTTTCCACTGGCTCATTCTCCACAATGAGTGGAGTGCCTGCTGTCCACTCCCTGCCGCCCACTGCTGCCCGCCCCCTGCTGTCCACTCTGCTGCACACTGCCTGCTGTCCACTCTGCTGCCTGCTCCCTGATGTCCACTCTGCTGCCCGCCCCCTGCTGTCCATTCTGATGTCCACTCTGCTGCCCACTCCCTGCTGTCCACTCTGATATCCATTCTGCTGCCCGTTCCTTGCTGTCCACTGTGCTGCCCACTCCCTGCTGCCCGCTCACTGATGCGTGCTCTGCTGCCCTCTCCATGCTGCCCTTTGTGGCTGCCCATTCCCTGCTGCCTGCTTCCTGGGTCCATTCTGCTGCCCGCTCTTTGCTGTCCACTCTGCTGCCCGCTCCCTGCTGTCCAATCTGCTGCCCGCTCCCTGCTGTCCTCTCTGCTGCCTGCTCTGCTGCCCTCTCCATGCTGCCCTTTGCTGCTGCCCATTTCCTGCTGCCTGCTTTCTGATGTCCACTCTGCTGCCCAATGCCTGCTGTCCACTCTGCTGTCCGCCCCCCTGCTGTCCATTCTGATGTCCACTCTGCTACCCATTCCCTGCTGTCCACTCTGATGTCCACTCTGCTGCCTGCTCCATGCTGTCCACATGCTGCCTGCTCCCTGCTGTCCACTCTGCTGCCTGCTTCCTGCTGTCCACTCTGCTGCCCACTCCCTGCTGTCCACTGTGCTGCCCTCTCCCTGCTGTCCACTATGCTGCCTGCTCCCTGCTGTCCACTCTGCCACCCACTCCCTATCCACTCTGCTGCCCTCTCCCTCCTGTCCACTCTGCTGCCTGCTCCCTGCTGTCTACTCTGCTGCCCATTCCCTGCTGTCCACTCTGCTGCCCTCTCCCTGATGTCCACTCTGCTGCCTGCTCTCTGCTGTCCACTCTGCTACCCTCTTCCTACTGTCCACTCTGCTGCTCTCTCCCTACTGTCCACTCTGCTGCCCTCTCCCTGATGTCCACTCTGCTGCCAGCTCTTTACCATGCACTCTGCTGCCCGCTCCCTGCTGTCCACTCTGCTGCCCAATGCCTGCTATCCACTCTGCTGTCCGCCCCCCTGCTGTCCATTCTGATGTCCACTCTGCTACCCATTCCCTGATGTCCACTCTGCTGCCTGCTCCATGCTGTCCACATACTGCCTGCTCCCTGCTGTCCACTCTGCTGCCCACTCCCTGCTGTCCACTTTGCTGCCTGCTCCCTGCTGTCTACTCTACTGCCCTCTCCCTGATGTCCACTTTGCTGCCCAGTGCCTGCTGTCCACTCTGCTGCCCGCCCCCTGCTGTCCATTCTGATGTCCACTATGCTGCCCATTCCTTGCTGTCCACTCTCTGATGTCCACTCTGCTGCCCGCTCCCTGCTGTCCACTCCCTGCTGTCCACTCTGCTTCCCTATACCTGCTGGCCACTCTGCTGCCCTCGTCCTGCTGCTGTCTCCCTGTCCACTCTGCTGCCCGCTCCCTGCTGCCTGCTCCCTGCTGTCCACTCTGCTGCCCTCTCCGTCCTGTCCACTCTGCTGCCCGCTCCCTGCTGCCTGCTCTCTGCTGTCCACTCTGCTGCCCTCATCCTGCTGCCCTCTCCCTGTCCACTCTGCTGCCCACTCCCTGCTGCCTGCTCCCTGCTGTCCAGTCTGCTGCCCTCTCCTTCCTGTCCGCTCTGCTGCCTGCTCTCTGTCCACTCTGCTGCCCGTTCCCTGCTGTCCACTCTGCTGCCCGCTCCCTGCTGTCCACTCTGCTGCCCGCTCCCTGCTGTCCACTCTGCTGCCCGCTCCCTGCTGTCCACTCTGCTGCCCTCGTCCTGCTGTCGCTCCTTGCAGCCTGCTCCCTGCTCCCTTGCTCGCCCTTTCCTGCTGCGTCCTGCCCTTGGGCGTCCCAGAGACTCCTGTCCTGACTCCATTTCATCAGGACCCTCAGCCTCCAGCAGAGACCACGCCCCCGCACCAGATGCTGCCCACACCCCTGCTTCCTCCTCAGACTCGCCTCTCCTCTCCACTTCTCCCCTTTTGCCCTCCTCTCCCCTCCCCTCTTCTCCCTACCTCCACTTTTCCCTCACTCTCCCCTCAGCTCCTCTCTCCTTCCTTCCTCTTCCCTCCCCTCCCCTTCTTTCCTCTCCCCTTGCCTCCCCTCCTGTCCTCTCCTGTCCTCTCCCCTTCTCTCCTCGCCTTGCCTCTCTCCTCCCCCCTCCTCTCTGACTGCATCATGTCCTCTTCTGTTACCTCTTCTCCTATCCCCATTCCCCTCCCCTCTTCTCCCCTCCTCTCTCCTCTCCTCTCCTCTCCTGTTGCATCATCTCTTCTATCTCCCCTCCTCTCCCCTCCTCTCCTCCTCTCCTCTCTCCTCCCCTCCTCTCCCCTCCTCTCCTCTCCTCTCCCCTCCCCTCCTCACCTCTCCTCTCCTGTTGCATCATCTCTTCTATCTCCCCTCCTCTCCCCTCCTCTCCCCCTCCTATTCCCTCTCTCCTTTTGTCTCCCCTCCTTTCCCCTCCTGTTCCTTTCTCTCCTCTCCTCTCCCCTGTCCCCTCCTTTCTCCTCTCCTCTTCTCTCCCCTTTCTCCCCTCTTCTTTCCTTTCCTGTCCTGTCTTCTCCCCTCCCCTCCCCTCCTCTCCTCTTCTTTCCTAACCTGTCCTTTCCCCTTTTCCTCTCCTCCCCTTCCCCTCTTGTCCCCTCTTCTCCCCTCCCCTCCTCTCCTGTCCCCTGCTCTCCTTTCCCTTCAGCTCCTCTCCCCTCCACTTTTATCCCCTCCTCTCCTCTTCCCTCATTTCCTCTTCTCTCCTCCCCCTCTCCTCCTGTCCCCCCTCCTTTCCCCTCTCCTCCGCTCCCCTGCTCTCTTGTCCCCTCCACTCCTCCCCCCTTCCCCTAATCTTCTCTCTCCTCCTTCCCTCTCACTCCTCTTCCTCTGCTCCTTTCTCCTGTGCCTTCCTTCTCTCCTCTCAGCTCCTCCCCATCCTCCTCTCCCCCTCGGAATCCCCCCTCCCCTCCTCTCCTGTCTGCTCACCCCTCTGCCCTGTTCCTCCCTTCTCTCCGTCCTCCTGGCCTCCCCCATTCTCCGTTGTCTTCTTTTTTCTTCTCAGGGTTCTCCCTCCCCTCTTCCCTTTCCTCCCCTCCACTCATCTGCCCCTCCCCTGTTCTCCTGTTCTCATCTCTTCTTCCTCTCCTCCCTCCCCTTCCTCTCCCTCTCTCCCCAGCAGCCCCCCTTCCTCTCCACAAGGCTCTGTGGCCAACAGAGCAGGGCCCCCATGTGACTCTCCTCACTTCCCCTCAGCCCACTCGGACCCACCAGGGGTTAAGGGGCTTCTCTGCTGTGCCCCCCTGACTCAGGCACACCTGCCGACAGACCCCCGACCCCTCCCAATGCATTCCGGCTCTCCTCTCCTTCCCCCAAGTCCCCTGCTCAGCCCCCCCTGACCCTGCAGGGGCATCTGTCCTGCTCCTTCCTCCCCGCTCCCCATCTTCCTCTCCTGCCCCCTCCAGCCCCTCTCGGGGTCCTCCCTGCTCGAGCCCCCACACCCCCACCGGCCCTAGCACCCCCATCCTGACTACATCCATCTGCCACTGTCTGCTGGGCCCAGGCCCTGCCCTCCCGCACCTCCTCTGCACTCCGGGTCCCTCTGCCCCTCGGGCTCCTCCCCTGCTGCCCCCCCCATCCCATGACTCTCCTCGAAGATGCATGGCCCCCAGGGCAGCCTGTCCACAGCACCTTTGGGTGTTTTTGTGTTTCCTTTTGCAAGTTTTTGGGTGTGTTTTTGTGCTGAGCAGAGAGAACTGCTCGGCCCCCAGGTGTGTGGACGCCGCTGACCCCGGGATCCCTTTGCCTGCCCTGCCCCCTCCTTGGGGATCCCGGCCACTCAACAGTCCCGGCTCACTCCTCCTGGACCCACCGCATCACGCCCCTGCCCCTCCCTGACCCCTGTCACACTCTGGGCCCCGCTATCCATGACCTCATGGTTCTCACAGACCCCAGCCCTCTGCCCCTCACATGGCCTGCACACTGGGACCTCCGCGTCCACTCCCCAGTGCTCACCCCACATAGCACTCCTGGGCCGTCCAGCCCTGCCCCTCCCCCGTGAAGCACCTCAGCTCCCCAACACGCTGCTCTGACAGCTCAACCTCCCCACCCCGCCGTGGGGGCTCCATCTGTGCTGGCCGAGTGCCCGGGACCCCAGCCGCCGCCAGCCTCCGCCAGCCAGCCCCTCAGTCCCAGGACGGTGCCTGCACCCTGCGCCGTCTGCTCAGTGTGGGTGACCCGCTGCCCAGGGCCTCCTCTCTGCCCCCTGCGGGCCCTGCCGCCTTCCGAGTGGCCTGGTCAGCGCCACCAGAGGCTCTCCCGCCCATGCTGCCTCCCAGGGCTCGCCAGCTCCTTGGGGCCTGCCTGATGGTCACCTGTCCTGCCGTCTGTCCTGCCAACAGCGCCCCTGCATGCCCTGCACACCAGGCCCCTCCTGTCCCGTCCTGACCCCTGACACCAGGTACCCTCCTGTCCTCTCTGTCCCCTCGTACTGGGTCCCCTCCTGTCCACTTACACCAGGCCCCTTCCTGTCCCCTCACTCTGCGCCCCCTTCTGTCCCTTCGTACTGGGTCCTCTGCTGTCCCCTTACACCAGGGCCCCTCCTGTCCCCTTCTGGCCCTTCCTGTCCCCCTCACACTAGGTCCCCTACTGTCCCATCACATCAGGTCCCCTCACACTGGGTCCCTTCCTGTCCCCCTCATACCAGGTCCCCACACCGGGCCCCCTCCTGTCCCCATCTGACCGCAGGCGCCCCCCCGCCCCCCCATCCCTTGCTCACCCTGTTGCCGCCTGCCCAGGGCCCCTGTCCTTCTCAGGCCTCGCTTGTCCCCCTCTGTCTCGGCAGCCTGCCCACGGTCTTCTCCTTCCGGGCCCTCAGTCCTGCTCTCTGCCTGCCTGTCGCTTCCTCCCTGCCCCCGACACTGGGGGTCTGGAGATGGCTCCTCCCTCACCCTCTGGGGACCCGGCTTCCTCAGCCTCAGTCTCCCCATCATGTCTCCTCGCTCAGGTCCCCGGCTCCGGCCACTCCTCCACGAAGCCCCAGACCTGTCAGAGCACCCACGACCCCGCTGTCCGCTCTGCCTCCTGCCTCCTGCCCTCCTGTGCCTGCCTCATGCCAGCCACGCCGCGCCCTGCCAGTGTCTCCCTCGTGCCCAGCAATGCCCCCTCCCCCCTGCCCTCCCCCCAGGGCTGCTCGGACCCCCTGCTGCCTGGCACAGGGGACCACGGCCCCTCCCCGGCCCTCCGCCCTGGACGAGGCGGCCTCCCGGGGCTTTGGGGGGATCAGCCCACCTCAGTCTGAGGCCTGTGGGTGCAGTGGGCTCCAGTCGCCCCCTGGGACCATGCCCTGCCGCCCTCAACTGCTCTCGGCCCCCCTGGGGGACCCTCCAGAATGCAGGGGCTGGGCTCTCTGCTGCGTGTCCCCGTCTGGCTCACCCCGGTTCCTCCCCGGCCCTGCTGCCTCCAGCCTCCCCTCAGCCTCCCACAGGGGCGTCTGGGCGCCCCTCACACCTTTCACCTGCCCTCGGCCCCTCCTCTCCCTGCCTGGACCCCTGTCCCCCCACGACCTTGCAGGGGCCTCTACCCTGCCCCCTCCTTCCTACATGGACCCCCGATGCTCCTGCCTCCTCCTCCCCCGTCTTCTCTCCTGCCCTCTTCAGCCCCTCTCGGGGTCCCTGCTCGGGCCCCCATACCCCTACTGGCCCTGGTGCCCCCTGTCCTAACTACATCCATTTGCCGCTGTCTGTTGGGCCCGGGCCCTGCCCCCTGCTCCCCTCTGCCCCTCGGGCTTCTCCCCGGCTGCCCCCCACCCCGTGACTCTCCCCGAGGATGCATG